CACGATAAGAATACTTATATACAATTAATTCATCATAATTGGTTTTTTTTTTTTTTTTATGTCAGTCGTTATTGAGCAGGACGTTATACTGATCCGACATTGTGCTATGATTAAAACGGACAAATCAACGAGAATGAGCAAAACGGAAGGACAGCGTGAAACGACGATAAAATTAGCACAACACTTTTGCCTTCTTTTTTTTCATCCTTTGTTCTTTCTTCTTTCTGTCTTTTTTTCGCGTGATATCTGTACGCTGTGTTTTTTAACGTCTTTTTAAGTCGTTCCTTTCGCTTTTTTTTTTTTTTTATTATTATTATTCTTTTTCTTTTTAAATATCGGTGTTATTTTTATCCTCGTCTATATATCGTTTCTCTGATCTAAAATTTTTTTTTTTTTTTTTTTAACGATCGAAGCATCGAACTATACTCAGCGACGAATCGATAATGGCGATACAGGTCGGAAAAAACGAACGAATAAAAAGGAAAACGCCAGAAAGGATTCGCTTGGATTTGGATTTTCTTCTTCTATAATTCTTTTGTCGAAAGGAAATCTATTGCGTCTTAGAGATACTCGCGAGAAACGAATTCATCGCATGCAACAAATGAAATAAATACAGAACATTTAATTCTACTATAAAGTATACGGAATGTAAAGAAAGGTCTAAAACTTTTTGAGCTTACAGTACACAGGTTGAATTCAGCTCATAAAAGTCAATTTTTTTTCAATGAATTACATCGAATTTTGTATTTTATTCCGTGATAAATCGAAGATCCAATTTTTTTTTAAGATTTAAGAAGTTAACAATGAATACGTAAATACGTAAGTTGAATTTTAATTAATCTTCAAAATAATTTGTTAAAAAGGAAAAAACCATTTTTAATTTACTTGGAGATAATCTCTTTTGGAAATCTCATTACTTCGTTATTGATCATTCGCGAAAGAATTTTTGATAAAATCACAATATTTTAGACTCTTTCTTTGAAACATCCTGTATTATATTTCCGCTTGATGGAAGAATTCTCGTTAACGCGTGTGGCGGATAAACGATACGATTGACAATTAATGAAACAAAGTTTGCACGCAAAAACTAAAATCATTTCAATCTCACCCCCCCCCCCTTTCTTTCTCTCCCCCTTTTCTTCCGTTATTATATTTGCAACGCTCTTTTTTTTTTTTCTTTTTTTTTTTCTCTATTTTCTTTTTTTTCCTTTTTTAAAATCCTCTTTCCTCTCGAAGGATACCTTCGACGCACATTTCGCAACACGCTTGCTCGAAAACAAAATTTCTACGCCTTCATGTCCCGTGATGGATCGCGTCACGCTCGATCCACTCGGTTCAGTC